TGGGGTTTTAATGGGGTTAGATCATAATGCCGATTGTTCTTCTATGTACCACCAGAGCGCTAGCCTTGAGCTGAAGAGCTGAGGGACAGCGCCCAGGCCCAGAGTTCAGCCCCACAACCAGACCCCCCCCAAAAAAAAGAATTAATAAAGAGTATCCCTATTTATTATTTGCCTCCAGGATCATGCTTTTTGTTAGGTATTTTTGTAAACATCGGTTTTATATTTTGAATAACTCAGTTGAAAATAATAGATTAGAAGTGCAAATATTCTTGATTCTCATTCAAACTTCACTTAAAAAGAGATTCCTAAGAAAATGTCGATTTTGACACCTTTCCTTACACGTGACCTCATCTTAATTTTTCTTAGTATCTTCTTTTTGTTGTTGTTGTTAACAGTGAGTCTAATCTGCCAGAAAATTAAAGTTACAAACCTAAGAAGCGTATAACTGGGTCCTGTGGTGGGAAAGGTGAATGCTAAGTCAATGGAAATTCCACTTTAGTTCCTGTTTTCGAGCAGCTTCTCCCTTAAACTCAAAGCAGGCCCTAACTCGCTGGACACGTGCCTGTTTGAGTTGTATTAAACTCAACACGGAGCTGGGACAGCTTGAGTCTGGAGCTGGAAGCCGAGCTGAGGAAGGAACCACCATGGAGCCAAACCCCCGGGCCGCAGGGGCCCAGGCATGTGGCAGGGAGGCTGTGACCCCTGGGAGCAGACAGCCCACCCCTGTCCACAGGGCAGCCACCATCTCGGGAAATACTCAAAACAACAGGAAAAGGGTGATATTAAAACCACTAGAATTGTATCTGACCTTATGACACAGTATTTTTTGTTGTTCCTTATTGTCACCGTCCCTAGGATACACAGACCTTCAAGAGACAGTTGAAGAGCCGCACAGACGGCTACCACCCACTGCCACCTTCACAAGTGGCTCACTCAGTGCTCGTACCTCTACCAGCCCCTGGAGCGGTGGACCTTGCCCGGGTCTGACCAAGCCATTATCTCTCCATTGTGGCCGGGAGGTTTGCAGGACTCCGGCTGCCTCGGTCTGGGATGCACGAGGCATCGAGTTTGGAGTGGGTGAGAAGTTTGTTCCTGCCAAGCACCATGACACTGGCCACCACCATGCCTGATCTGAGACCCTCGGGGTGCAGAATCTCAGCCCCCACTTCCTGCACGCAGGACTGTGTGCACCGTCCCAGCCAACGTTGTTTACGAAGCTCATTGTCAAAATAAAACCATTAACAATTTCAGTAGCTTGACTAAAGAGCGTGGAGGTGGCTAGAGGTGGGCGGGGGGGTGGGCACTTCTGTCACAGGCCCACGCAGCTGGCCCTGCTCCCATTGTGAAAAAAAAAAATACGTAAAGCCTCAAAATCCTTAGTTTCAATTCCTCCATTCTCCATGCACACATGTATTAAATTAACTCCTAAACTGAAATGCTTGCAAACAGCAAAAAACAAAACAAACAAAACATGAAAACATCAGCATAGATCTCTGTTTTAGGTAGGAAGAGCTCACTATGAATTAATGAACTTGGAAAAAAGTTTGCAGAAAAATTAGACAAAAGAATGAGAGAATTATGGATATCACCATAGTAATAATAGCCAGGCACTCTGTCGAGTATTCTCTTTATGAATATTAATATGTTAATCAACTCAAGTACACTGCAAGGCAGGTGCCTTTATTATATCTTGTGTTTAAGGATGAAGAAAACTGAGATTTGAACATTTTCAGCCATCTCTCCAAAGTCTTCAACGGGGTTAAGTCTCTCTGACTTCCTAATTACATTTGTAATCATTCTGTGTTGCACTTATAGAAAGAAAGAAATAGAACATCACATAAGTACAAGCCAAAAGTGGCCATAGCAGGAGTTATGGGGAAAGGGGCAGTGCTATGCATATTATTTTTATGCCCTCTGAATGAATTAAAAGGTTGTTATAATCATAACTCATCTGTGACATTGTATCTCATACATGCAGAGATTCAGAGACAATTTGCCAAACTCATCACTCCTCCTCTGTGACTCCTGCAAGATGGAGACCATTCTCAGTAATCAGACTGTCGACATTCCTGAAAACATCGAAGGGACGCACAGCGATTGTGAAAGGTCCCCGCGGAACCCTGCGGAGGGATCTCAACCACATACATCATCGTAGAACTCAGCCTCCTTGGACAGAAAAGGAAGAGGCTCTGAGCTGACAAATGGTGGGGAAACAAAAGGAACTGGCCACCGTGCGCGCTATCCGTAGTCACGTCCAGAATATGATCAAGAGTGTTACTCTGGACTTTCATTACAAGATGGGGTCTGTGTATGCTCACTTCCCCATCAACATTGTTATTCAGGAGACTGGGTCTCTAGTTGAAATTCGAAACTTCTTGGGTGAGAAATACATCCGAAGCATTAGGATGAGGACAGTTGTTGCTTGTTCAGTCTCTCAAGCCTAGAAAGATGAATTAGTCCTTGAAGGAAATGATATTGAATTTGTCTCAAATTCAGCTGTTTTGATTCAGCAAGCAACAATAGTTAAAAACAAGGATGTCAGAAAAGTTTGGCATGGTATCTATGTTTCTGAAAAAGGAACAGTTCAACAGACTGATGAATAAGATCTAAGTTAACGCATTTTTGGAGACTATCCTGGAGCCTGACCAGGTTCTGATACTTCCATGATGCAATCAATAAAAGAATTCTTTTGAAAAAAAATAGAGAAGGGTCAGGGTTCACATCTGCCGAGTCCCTCCGGGGCCTCGTGCAGCCTGCCAGCATTCTATAAGTTCAAAATAATTTCTTACATAAGAATAATACTATATTCGTGAAAACCTGCAGAGACAAACAGCACATGTGCAGTGGTTCTTGCTTTCTCCCCCAGATAACTGAAGCTGGAAAGATGGCAGTAAGTTGCTCCTCCACCTATACTACTGTGTCACAGCTGTGCATCACCCCCGCTTTCTCCCACTCCTGGACCAGTCTTCAAGCCATGAGACTGTCAGACAGGCAGACACTCTGGAAAGCAAGACTTTATGGATGCCAAGGTTATTATCTGTGATAGCAGCTCTTGGTCCTGGGAAATGGAGCGTGTAATTATGTTTTATTGATTCACTCCACTGACCAAGAGCATACCCCATTACTTCCAAATATAAATGAGTCTCTCATCCTTCCAAACAAATGTGGCAGCATCTCAGTTTCCAAGAGTCTCCCCTCAAATATGGTCCCAAGCAGGAAGACGTTTTGTCTAATCCTCACTCTGTTCTCCATTTTGGCTCAAATGCCATCAGGTAAATGAGAATGGATGGGGTTTTAATGGGGTTAGATCATAATGCCGATGGTTCTTCTATGTACCACCCTAAAATTAATAGTACTGATCAGGGAACCACAGTGGTTTTTTTTATGAGAATTTCTCAGACCTATAGTGACATTTTCTAAGAGCCAACGATTGTATGTGGTATTTGTTCCTTCCTTTTCTTTGTGACTTGGTCTTACTAATTCCCAAGAGAAACAGAATTAAGATTGAGGCATTGTCATATGCAGTCTCCAATGGGCCCATGTGTGAAAATAGTTTTATCTAATATTGTTCATATGCCATTTCTTTGCATTGATATTCTTTTCTAAAATATGCTTTGCTTTAAATTTTAGGATGTGAGGCAGGACTTGAGTATTCCCAGTCATTTCCAGGAGGTGAGTTCAGTTGGTTAAATTTATTTTCTTCTTGGGAACTCTGGCCCATGCTATGTATGTCTGATGAGTCCAAGAAGGAAAACAGTAGTGAAAATAAAATGGACTGAACTGCAGCCCACAAACGCTCATCCTCTCTTCTTCTTGGTGACAGAATCTTATTTTTTTTCCATTTACAGAGAACTATCTTGGTTGAGGAGCGTAAGTCTGGCCATCGAGATTGGAATCCCTTGACTTTCCCCTTTGATTTTGGCTCATAGGTTCAGGTTTACTGTCACACCAGCTGATGGGCCTGCGGCATGCAAGCATATCTGTTTCTCACATTCTAAATCTAATGAGGTCCATAGCACTGCTTGCCTCTGGTTTACACAGAATCATCTGAATGAATGAAGATAGTTCTGGGAGAACTCATTATTACAGAAAAGTTATTGATAATGGGTAGCCACAAACCTGGCTTGGGTGGGGGTAGGGGGTGGCCTGTCCTGGGGCTTGAACTCTGAGCCTGGGTGCCGTCCCTGGGCTCCTTTTTTTTTTTTTCAAGACTAGCACTCTACCACTTGAGCCACAGCTCCACATCTGGCTTTTTCTGTGATTAATTGGAGATAAGAATTTTACGGACTCCCCTGTCCCAGCCGGTCCTCAGATCTCAGCATCCTAAGTAGCTAGGATTACAGGTGTGAGCCACCGGTGCCTAACATAGCCACAAACTTCACTTTGTGGAGATCTCTTTTACAGGAGATCACATTGTAGACAGAATTGAAGCAAATATTCTTGGGTAATTGCAGACCACATGAAGAATTTACATAGCATTTTAGAGTTGGAAGTATTACAAGTACTCCTAATAAATTCCATCCATGTGTCAGGCACTCCTGCATCTATACATGCACCATCTCATTTAACATTCAAAACACCCTTATAGGTAAGTGCCATTAAACCTGAATGTCATATGCCATTTATTTAAACAAATTAAAATTATAGAAGAGTCTTTATAGAATGTCCTTGGGACAAATAAGCAAGTTGAGAGAAACAATTTACTAGGAAGGTGCCCAGTACTACGTCCAAACAGGAATTGAGTCTAAAATTCTTACTAACATTTTCAAGAATCTTCCCAATGCTACATTATATCCCTCTTGTTTTTGTCTAGCAAGCACCAGTCATATCCAGTAGGTATATTTATAGTCCTGTAGTTTGTCTACCTGATGAAATAATTTAGAGAGCAGAGATTGGGACTATCTCTTCCTTGTAACTCTACCAAATTCCAGACTGCAAAGACATGGCAATCTTTCAAAAAAAATCTGGGCTAGCTATTATGATATATCCATGAATGTATATAACATTCTTAAAACAAATTCAGCCCTACTATTCTTCTTTCCCCTCACCATCCTCTTAAGACGATTTAATCCATGAATGGGTTTCATTATTCTATTTTCAAACACAAGTATGTAGTACTTTATCCAATCAACATATGCTAATAAAAAACAGATGAAAAATTTGGTTTTTGAACCTATTTACTCATACAAGCATTCTGTATTCTGACGGACTTTGATACGCTCCCCTTTCCCCCAGAGTGCTCACAAAGCTAACTTAGCCATTTTTCTTGGCACAGGTGAGTTTGCCGTGTGTGAGACATGCAGACTTGGCCGGGGTAAGTGCAGGAAGTCCTGCATGGAGGACGAGACAGTGGTTGGAAATTGCAAGCTGAACATTTTCTGTTGCCGCCGGAGGATCTGACTTAGACTGTCCTTCTTCTGGACAGTGGGGGTGGATCCATCTCCAGGGAAGACCCAGAGAAGACTGGCTTCCCCGACCATCCATGGAGTTTCAGGATCGACCATGTGTCATTCTCTCTTTGTTTTTGTTTCTTTGCCACTTGTGGTTTTAAGATGCTCTCTGATGGCAGGGGCTCTGACATCTGCATACGATTGTTCCTTTGTTGTTTTGTTTTCACCTTAACAAGTCAGCTTTGAATTGACCCAGATCATGGATACTTCAGAAATCAGCCAGAGTCCTAAACTGAGTTAATTTATAGATAGGGACTAAGGTGCCCTTTCTTTTTTGTATCTAACCATTTAAATATTTTCAAGTGCCTCGACCGCCCTTGGCCCTGGTTTTTTTGTTGTTGTTATTGGGGGGGGGGGTTGTCCTTAAGTTCATAGAAGCATTAGAAGTTTCCTTTAGTTTGGGTTGGTGTCCGCGTGTTTGTGGCACATCGAATTCATAAAGAATCCACGCTTAGTTTTGTCCCTTTAACTGAGATTTATGCTTTCTTCAATTTTCACATCCTTCCAGCAGTTCTTTTTTGTTTTGGATTTTTTTTTTTAGTTCAGTTTTTTTTGTGGCCAGTAGGAAGATAGTTTTTTGAAGATCACTCTCTTTTCCTGAAAATGGACTACTCAAATTTTAGCTGTCAGATAACTTTCTACTTTAAATCCTTTAATGGCTCTCCTTTGGTTTAGAATAAAACTATAATCTCTTAATGCCATCTACTTGTGTGGCATAAATTCAGATGATTATTGTTCAACACATGTCTGCTGAAGTAATGTAATTTTCATAAAATTTGAAATATGGGAACATTTGTTTATAATATGATCCATAAAATTCCCTAGATTTGTACAAACTTTGACCCCATAATGATTTTCCTTTAGTTATAGAACCGGCTGCGAATTTCTGTAGATAGTTTTCAATAGGAAATCAAGTAGCATCTCTTGTTGCAAAGCACTGCTGTAAGAAATGAATGTTTAAAAATAGGGCTGGGAAGGTGGCTCAGTGGTCGCGTGTTTGCCTTGCGTGCATGAGGCCCTGGGTTC